TCTTGATACTATTAGTTATACAATAGCCCATCTCTTTCCACAGCTGCGGCGTGATGAGAAAAGGCTGGGCGTGGCTATGCATCAGCAAGTACAGTCAGAGCTTAGACAATGGTTATACCGGTCTTGATACTATTAGTTATACAATAGCGTGTCTTGGGGTGTTTTTTTTTTTTTTGATTTATAAAAGTTATACCAAAAGAAGACAATTATCATCAGATTTAAAGGCAAGACAAATTAGTTGTTGTAAAAGATGTCTGTGGGCTGTTTCCCAGAGGCTTCTCAGCCAATGAGCTATTGAGCCTGAAAAGTCTTCACTGGAGTTTGCATGACGCTAAAACCCGGATAAAATAAATATTATTTAAAGCATATAACAACATTACTAAGCAGCCCACCAATGGGAATGTACGGCATTTCTAATGAAAATACCGTGTGCTCTGTTTGGCTTCTGCATAACCGCCTCCCGTGCTGAGTTCCCCAGGGTGCTAAGCAGGATGCACACATGCACCTTATGTGCAAAAAACCCATGGCTCCTGGCTGCCTCCTCTGAGCGCGAGCTTCCCAACACAGCTGCACCGTTGATTCCACGTGCATTCCGACAAAACACCAACCCGAAAAGCTTCGCTTCACATTTTTATCTAGAATGAGTTACTATACATAGATTTCACTATGTGTTGCAGAAAATCACTGTAGAAGCCCCTCTTTCTTTTAATCTCTCAACCGCAAATTTCAGAGTGAACATTTTTTAAGCGTCACACTTTCCCTTCAGAACAAGGAACGCACATCGACACAAGCCTACTTCTGCACGAATTGTAGAAAGCAGGTCTCAGCATCCCAGGGAAGCATGACAACAATCAGCAAGCCCATGGGCGTACACCGGATGAGCGGTACAGTTGGGTAAGGTACTGAGGGCCGTTAAAATGACATCGCAGTGTTTTTCAGAATTGTGCACTACATCTCAGCCAGGAAGGGCTACTAAAGGCTAACGAACACGCCACACGATGTGGATTTCTATCTCAAACTCTGGACAGGTCCTTAACTGGACTTTAACAGTCATAGGCAGCATGCTCACACATTCATTCTCTCCAATAACCTTTCAATTATACTGTGTAATTTTAAAAAATCAGTTAATTATAAATCTATACGGAAACACAAAACATATAAATGTCCAAGTTTTCTCCTGACTATGCAGAGTGCATGTGTCCGAGGTGCAGATACTAAATAGCAACGGCCTTTGTCCTCCAAGTGCAATGTCGTCTTTGAATACAAGGATACATTTTTTACTCTCTTAATGGCAAAAATGTAATAGTTGTCTGTAGTTTAAAAAAAGATTTGACCAAATCAAGTCTACTTGAAGTATCTTTGAATGTCATCTGGAGGTGAGCTATCATACAGAATATTTAATAGTATACACCACCTCAATTTTACACTGCACAGAAGCCATGAACACGGGCAGCAAAAGGAAACCACTTTCTATGGTAGAGATTGTTTTTTTCAGTACGAAGGACTTACATGAAGGGCAGGCAACATTTAGTAGAAATGGTTTCTGATGTGATGGTCTGTTGCTATGACAACTCTCGGGAACCGGTGATCTCAGGCAATCACAGTGAAAGTGACAACTGCCTGCCTCTGCGTCTGTCTGTGTCCTTGAATCTTACTGAACATGCAAACTGCGTCTATTCGTGATCCGTCCACACAAGAGGTCCTGGGCTATGACAACTGACCTTTTCAGCTGACAGTCAAGGACCTTGAGACTCTAGAACAGGCGTCCTCAAACTACAGCCCTTGGGCGGCCAAAGGTGGCCTGCGAGGACATTTATCTGGCCCGCCGGGTGTTTTTGCCCCATTTGTTTTTACTTCAAAATAAGATATATGCAGTGTGCATAGGAATTTGTTCATAAGTTTTTTTTAAACTTTAGTCCGGCCTTCCAACGGGTCTGAGGAACAGTGAACTGGCCCCCCATTTAAAAAGTTTGAGGACCCCGGCTGATGAATGGCTGGTCCCAAACACATGGCCATTGATGACAGAGTCAGAATGAGGACCCAGGTCCCCTCCCAGGTCCGTGAATGTCCAACACTATGTTTCCTCCATTGTTTTACAAAGCAAAACAAACCCCATCTTCAGTTTTTCCCAAACTTGTTACCTGTGGCAATCCTGTGAGTGCCTCAGGGCTGGAGACTTCAACACCCTTTGTAACCAGAGGTGTGCTGGTGACCCAAGTGGTAGCTGAACCTTTCTCAAGCCAAACATCTTCGATTATGTTGGATATTTTAGAAGGTAAGTAATTTCCTCAATTACCCTGAGTGCCAATAAAAATGCTTAAACACTTGTGAGAATAAGTCACGTGGTAGCACGCTGACAGCTGAGATTGGTCAAATTAACAGTTCCCAGAAAATGAAATTAAGAATTCTTTTTTGTCCACGTTTTCCCTGAGTAGTACATACTTTACCAAAAGAGTAAAAAGAGGATGTTTACTGGACATCTCTGGAGTGGTTTGATGATTATCGAAGAGTGGTAAATGACACAGATATGCACAGAAGCGTATTCTCTTGATTAAAGCACACGTTACAATGAATCCGTTTAACCGCAACAGGACCAGCTTTAAAATCATCAACCCTACAGAAGCAAAGCACTCTCCTCTTTCCAAGACCCCACACAGGTGTATTCACTTCACAAAGCACACACTCAGCACTTTTGCTCGAGGAGAAAGTCAAGCTGAGAATCGGGATGACTCGGCTTTCTTCTAGATTGCGGACCTGAGATTGTAATCTCTTTGAGATTAGAGGAAAGCTGTCCAAAACCTATTTCATAAAAACCAAGAGTTGGCTCGGGGAGATGAAACGATCCAACTAGCTATCGGAAGGGTCCCATCCAAAGTACCTGGAAAACGGACCAAGTGGCTTTATCATCTATCAACTGAGCCAGGACCAGGTGACCCATTGCAATCCTATGGGCTGGGAAATAAAATGCATTCAGAGTAGAAACTAATGGTTATTTTTTTATAAGTGGCTAATAGGCTGCACAAGGAAAAACAAAGAGTCTTTATTAAACGCTCTTGTTTTTGTTTATTACGTGTCTGGACCCATCTTTGACACTTGGAACCTCTGTATTTTCTCTTAATGGTGAGCAAACCTTCTGCAGCATCTACTGATGGGAGACCTGCTGGGAAAACTGAGCCCGTGCAGACCTGGTGCGGGACAGTGTTCCCATAAGCCCCCTTTTCTCTATGTGTGTACACACACACACACACACACACACACACACACACACACACACACCCTCCCTGTGCGGGGCAGGGCAGTGTTCTCATAAGCCCCCTTTTTGCTATGTGTACACACACACACACCTCCCCGCTTCATCTGAATGCTGGGGAAATGGAGCCCGTGCACTTAGCTCTTTTTCCTGGGAGGTCACAGGAGAGAGCAAAGCTCGTCACCCTGGAAAGTCTCGTCCCTGGGAAACCCAAACACACATGTGCGTGCACCCCGGCCAGACTGTTTGTAAGGTTCTCAAAAGCTCCAGTTATGTTTCCTCTTTTGCCCCCCCTTTCTTTCTTGAAATGAAACACTACAGTTTAAATCAGAATCTGGTTCTGTCTTTAACGTCAGTTGAAATTTTATTAATCACAAGAATCCAAGCAGTAAGAATCACCATAGAGAACAATCTGCATTTCATTTTTGAAGTTTAAGGCAAAAAATAAATTCCCCCCGAGCCTTGTCACCTCCAGGTGACCTCAGTCGGTGTTGCCTACTCTTCCGGGTCTGGCTGAGGCCTCGCAGCAGCTCCCGCAGCCCCTGCCGTCCCCAGGGAGCTCAGTCAGGGCCCAGTCACCTGAGGCGGCCTTCAATGTCGGGGAAATGGCCACAAAGCGCACATTTTCCCATGCAGATAATCTCAGCCCATTCCCATTCCCACAGGAGCTACACCAGCACCCTTTACGTAGGCGGCCCGGTGTTTGGAAACTACATCCTTGCCTCGTAATGGGCTTCTGACCCACTGACCCTTTCATTACCCCTAACCTTTCCCACACAGGAAATTAAGCTGTCAGGGAAAAAAGGAGGGACTAGGTAGACAGTCCCCTTTCCTTACCCAGTGATCTCTCTTTCAAACCCTTTGAGCAACCCAGTATTTTCATAATCCCTTCAGAATTCTATTTAATATATGCTTGGTAAGTTCCATTTGAAAGTCCAAAGTGTTAAAAAGTTATTGAACTTTGATGTCTCCCATGATCACAGACTGAGAAGGGTCAGAGTCCCGCCTGCTGCGCACCCAGTCTGATTTCCCCACTGTAACCGCTGCACAAGTTCCCCGGGCACACTGACTAACAGGCTTGGTTGCTAGCCTAAAGGGCTGGCAGTTCGACACCCCCAGCCACTTCATGCGAGAACGAGGCGGCAGTTGGCTCTCACACAGGGGCCCACAGGCGGCTGGCTTCACCTGTCCTGTGGCGCTCACGAGTCCGGAGGGCCCAGAGCAGTGGCTTTGCTGCTGCTGGCTGGTCCATCAAAGCTGTCCACTTCCTTCTGGCGCCGACCGCGCTGGTGCCTGCTTTCCTTCGTCTTCTCGCTAAGAAAATAAGCTCAACACGTCACAACCCAGCCTTTCATTCTGCCTACAGACTGGCCCCTGGAGGGCCTCAGACACAGGTAATTCAGCGCTGCATCAAAATAAGCCCCCATCATTTGGCGTCCCTTGAGGTTTGCAGTTCTGCAGCCATTGAGTTACACTAAGAAAAGCCTCCAATACTGAGCTGTTTATTGCATTTTAAAGTATCCACAATCTTAAATATCCCGTTTTAAATTCTTTCTAGCGTCCCTCACAGTGCGCAACATCAAAACAGGCAAAATCTGAGCCCTCCCAAAGTGACACAAGGAAATCCCAGTTAGGAACAGCATTTTAGGAAAGAGAGGGTTTAAGGCAAGACATTCATTTGGAAAAGGTAATTTCTCTCACTCACCCAGACGGACACAATGATTTCCCCACCTCTTTTTCAGTGCTTTGGGACAGGCGGTGTACATCCAGCAATGGGGCACACAGAGACCCCACGGCCAGACGCTGAGGTCCTGAGTGCCCACTGCAACGAGGGAGCTATCTTTATATAAGGCGCGGCCCACAAAGACACGGCCCAGGAGGGGTTCTTTAACTCCGTTTCCAATCTGGAAATTCCCGATCTGCAAATGTCCAATTTTTCCCCTCCTCCCAGCTACTGAATCTCTTTTTCAAACAAACACAAACCCTTTGAAAAGGTGCTAAGATTGGTTTCTGTTAACACACAAGGAAGTGACCCCTGGGCAGTTTCTGGATCATTGGTTTAGAGATGAATGTCCAGAGGCTAAGTCTTGATTCTGATTGCAAATATTGTTTGTTGTGGAAAAGCTATTGTGTCCCAAAGAATTTTCTTGTTCATCAAACTTTTTCGATTGTGAGAGTGGAACCAGGTCAGCTGTATTCTTTCCTCTTGGACTTTTTTTCACCGGCAAACACAACATTACTACGATGCCAGCACAGTGAAGGCAGTAACACCAGGAGCTGTAAGAGAAAGGGGGAGCAAGTTTATTCGGTTGTGACAGTGAATTAATTTTAATAACCACCTGTGGCAGTCACCTAATCTGGTATCAGTTTAAAGTGGAGGGGTGGAGTCTAGGCTGTCTATCTGGAGATAGCCAATGAGACTTCTGTGTAGGCATGGCCTTCTCCTGAGAATTCTGGGAAATCTGGGACTTCCTCCTTGGAGGCAGAAGACACCCCTCTCTCTGCTACTCCCTGGGAGACATTGCAGAAGACAAGCCACGCAGATGTAACTAGACCTCTGAAGCCGGAGAAGCCACAGAGAGACCCCTGCTGGCGGTGAGATGCTTACGCCACTGGACCCAAAGACTTTCTACCCACTGGCTTGTGATCGTCCTGCATTCGGAAGAGGACTTTATAGATTGGTATCAGACATATGGGCTAACATCAGACTTATGGCCTTGGACTGGGCTGGGATTATTTCTCAATGTTCAATTGCTCTTGTATATAAATCTTTTTCTTATACACATATGTGTGTCCATGGATTTGTTTCTCTAGTCCACCCAGACTGACACACCACGGTCTTAACAATAGGTCATGTGCCTCCTGAGAGAGATGCTTTTTACTACAGTGCATGGTCCTTCCCCTGAAGGAGAGGAAATTGTACAAAACGGGGCATGCTGATGAGCACTCACCTAACTCTCTCTTGACACAGAGGGAGTCTGGCCCGTGGCAAGTGAGGCTGTGTCTGGGAGGGTTCGAACCACCAGCCACTTGGTTCCCCTCCCAGGCTACTGGTTAACCATTTGTGTGACCCAGAGGCCTGGTATAATCACGATTCTAGATACCCCACTACATTTCTTTGTAAAGAGAATAAAAACTAAATAGCATAAGAACTGTAAAAGGTACTTAATAGTATCTATAGAAACCTGAAAAAAACAAAAAAACAGAGTCTCTCAAACCAGAGAATCGAATGCCGAGTAAACAGAGAGCTCAAGACAGGAAAGACTTGACTAGGCCGAGTCTCCCCTGCCCTACATGCACACCAATTAAATAATAAGTATTTTAACAGTGTAAGAGCTAGATGACAAATACCATTTTTAATGGTTAATTTAATCAGATACAGAAAGATTACTGTTATAATTGGGCTTTGTGTCAACTTGGCTAGGCCAAGATTCTCCCCGACGTGATTCTAACGTAGTATGATCAACTCCAAGACGGGATGGTCTAAGAGGAGCCAGGCAGACACGTGTGGGAAGACTGGGTTGGGAACCCATGGAGATCAATAACTTGGGCATCTGCGAGCCGAAATGGACGAGGATTGGCCATTCCGAATCAGAAAACCACCTGGTGTGCTCTGCTGGGAGTGTGGCTACGGAGGCGCGGTGCCGCAGTTCTCATGAACAAGGCATTTCAGACCTCTCTGGAAGCACGCGGCCATCTGCGATAGGACACTATCTGACCGCACTCGTGGAAACCCAGTCAGCCTGTTCTTCCAATGTATGCGCCACCCACAAAGCGCCTGAAGAAGAAACTGAAGAATTCTTCCAGTCTTCACTCTGGCACTGATGAGACATGCAACCAAGATGCAGTGATAATTATTGGCGTTTGGAATGCAAAAGTTGGAAGCAAAAAGGAAGGAACAGTAGTTGGAAAATACGGTCTTGGTGATAAGAAAGGAAGCTGGAGATCGCAAGACAGAATTTACAAGACCAACGACTTGTTCACAGCAAATAATAGTTTTCAACACCACAGACGGTGACTACACACAGGGCTTCTCCAGATGGAATACCCAGAAATCAAACCGAGTCCTCTGTGGGAAGAGACCACGGAGAAGCTCAGTGTCAGCAGCGTCAATGTCACAGGCCAGGGGCTGACTGCAGGACAGGCATCAACTGCTCTTATAAAAGTTCAGGATAAAGCTGAAGAAAATAAGAACAAGTTCATGGGAGCCAAAATATGACCTTGGGCCTCTCCCACCTGAATTTGGAACCAATCTCAAGAACAGATTTGATCCACGGAACACTAATGACAAGAGACCCGATGAACCGTGGGAGGACATCAATAATATCAATTATAAAGAAAGCAAAAGGTTATTAATAACATAGGAAAGAAAGAAAAGGTCAAATTCTGTTAGAAAAGACTGAAACTTGCTCTTAATCATAAGAGTCGCTAAGGCACAAGGAAGAAATGACAAAGTCTAAGATAGTGGATCTCAACCTTCCTAATGCCTTGACCCTTTTAATACAGTTCCTCATGTTGTGGTGACCCCCCAACCAAAAAATTATTTTCGTTGCTACTTCATAACTGTCATTTTGCTACTGTTATGAATCGAGCAACCTCTGTGAAGGGAGAGACTCCCCCAAAGGAGTCATGACCTACAGGTTGAGAACCGCTGCTTTAAGAGATGAACAGAAAATTCCAAAGGGCAGTTTACGGATGCAAAGTCAAATGCGGGAATGGAATGTGCAAAGACCCAGAGTTCGAAAACCCAAAAGAAAGAACATACTCAGCACTCCTGAAACAGAAAGGGCTACGGGAAAAATTCAAGCCTCGAATTGAAATCTTGAAGGATTCTATGGGAAATAATGAGTAATGATTCATGAAGCATCCAAAGAAGATGGAAAGAATACACAGGGTCACTATGCCAAAAAGAACTAGTCGATATTCTGCCATCTCAGGAGGCAGCACCTGAGCAAGAACCAGTGGTGCCGAAGGAAGCAGTCCAAGCTGCACTGACTGCACTAGCCAAAACAAGGGCCCGGGACCTGACGGAATGCCTCGTGAAATGTTTCAACAAACTGACGAAGCACTGGAAGCACTCCTCTTCTATGCCAGGAAATTTGGAAGACAGTTACTCGGCCAATTGATTGGAAGAGATCCATATTTATACAAATGCCCGAAAGAGGTGACCCAACAAAATGCTCAAATGACAGGGGACTATCGCTGATATTACAAAACGTAAAATCTTGCTGAAGATCATGCAACAATGGTTGCAGCAGTCCATTGACAGGGAGCGGCCAGAGGTTCAGGCTGGATTCAGAAGAGGGCCTGGAACAAGGGAGATCACTGCCCAGGTCGGATGGATCTTGCCCCAAAGCAGACAGTACCAGAAAGATATTTACTTGTGTAACTTGTTGACTATGCCACGGCATTGGACTGTATGGATAATCTTGAGAAGAATGAGAATTTCAGAATACCTAGTTGTGCTCATGTAGAACCTGTACAGGGGTCAAGAGGCAGTTGTGCAAACAGAACAACGGACTACTACATGGTTTAAAATCAGGACAAGTGAGGGACAGGGTTGAGTCCTCTCACCACTTGTTCAATCTGCATGCAGAGCAGCAGATCGTTAGAGAAGCTGGCTTCTCTGAAGAATACGGCATCAGGATGGGAGGAAGGCTTCTTAACCGGCACTATGCAGACAACACAACCCTGCTTGCTGAGCGTGAGGAGGACTTGAAGCGTTTGCCGATGAAAATCAAGGACCGGAGCTTTCAGTGTGTAGTACGACTCAGTGTAAGGAAGACCAGAATGTCAACAACTGGAGCAATAGCAACATCGTGATAAATGGAGGAAAGGATCGGATGGTCAGAGCTTTCCTCTTGAGTGGATCCCCCTTCACATCTCATGGTAGCAGCAGTCTGGAGACCAAACAACACAGTCCGTTGGGTAAATCTGCTGCACGAGGCCTCTTTAAATGGTTGAAAAGCAGGGAAGTGACTTTAGGGACTTGGTGCCCCTGACCCGAGCCATGGTGTTTTCAATCGCCTCATAAGCAAAAGAAAGTTGGACGCTGAATAAGAAAGACTGAAATAAGAATGCATGCATTTGACTTGTGATGCCGGGGAGAATCCTGAAAGTGGCATGGATTGCAAAAGCACAGACAGGTGTGGTCTGGAAGAGGTACAGCCAGAAGGCACCTGGGAAGCAAGGACGACTAGACTTCATCTCGTGTACGTTGGACATGCTGTCGAGAAGCCAGTCCCAGGAGGAGGGCATCGTGCTTGGTGAAGCAGAGGGGCGGTGAGAGAGAGGAATGCGCACCACCGGGAGATGAGCTGACACAGGGCTCTAACAAAAGGCTCCACCACAGGATGACTTCTGAGGCTGCACGGGACCGGGCAGCTTTGCGCTGTCGTACGCAGGGTGGGCATGAGTCAGAACTGAATTGATGGCACCTAACCACCCCCAACCACCGCAGATCGGGTCACAGCCCTGCTGCAATCCTCTGGGGGGACCCGTCCTCGCTGAAGGAGATCGAAGGGTCTCCCCCACCTTCTCCTCCTTGCTGGTCCACATCTCACATCAGGTTCGTCAACCTGCCAGCCCCGGGAGCTGTCAGTGACCTGCCACACTGCCTACCTTCCTTTTCAAACAAAGGTATGATTACAGTGACACGTTTTAAGAAGGGAACACTTACCTGTAAAACGTGAATGATGGTTTTATAGAAAGGAGGACAAATGGTACAACTGTGTAGCTGATTGCTACCTGTGTTACTGCCCACGTGATGACATCATAGAACAGTTTACGCTGGGGAGGTTCCACGAAATAATGTCTAATGTTATTTCTTATCTGCAACAAAGAAACACAAGAAAACATGCTTGATCCTTAAAGTAGCATTGCTTATAAAAAGCAACAGAATATGGACTATCATACTGGCCCGGGTTGGGTGGAGGGTGGCGCTAACTGCATTAGTGAGCTGGGCATCGCTGGCTCAGCTAAAGGACTGCGCAGGTCCACAGACACAGGAGGGTAACGCGCATGGCGGCACGATGTGGGCCACTGGTGAACCCGAGTAAAGGGCACAGCAGGCATTCTTGTGACTTCATAGAGGTTTGAAGTTGGGTCACAATTAAGTTTTCTGCTTGTTTGAAGTAGTTACAAGGTAACACTGCCGACAACAGCGCAAAACCAGTTGTCCTAAAATTAAAAATTAAAAAAACAAAACAAAACAGTTGTCTTGCGTCAACTGTGACTCATGGTACCTCCTTGTGCCCCGTTGCTGCTGTGTCCTGTGGTCAATTCTGCCTCATCACAGTGCCCAGTGACCTTTTGTTTAGTGGCCGAGCGCTGTAACCCCTGTGGCACCAGGCTGTCAGGGCTCCTCAAATCATGTTTGGTAAATTACTACACGGGGAAAAATTTCCACAGACTTGGCGTTTTCCTACTATGAAACGAGACATCCTGACCTCTTCTCTAATCCCTAGGCGTACACCAGCGGCGGAGGGTGCGGTTTGGTCCAGACCAGCACGGTAAGCCCCCAGTGCGTAGGACAGTGATGGTGGAGACTGCCATAGCGCTCTAAGAGCCAGCGTGACACAGAGAAACGAGGTGAGCGGTCCTTCTGGGGACATGGCGCCTCAACCTTCCTGGTTTAAGAAAACAATGCAGCAACCACAATGCACCGTGCGCGGCGAGAACCAGAGCAACGGGAGCTCAGTGAGACGGATGTGCCTGCAGAGGCTGGATGTGGAGCTCAGTCAAACCACATTTCTTAAGATGTCCGGTGAGACCACACGTGATTGATCTTTCATGACGTCCTGCAAAAGCTTCTCAAAAAGGGTTTTCTACTAACCACAGCTGCTCTTGATTGGTCATTCTTCTAAGCATATCGACCAACTTTTACAGGTGAACAGCCTCCTGACAGCAATGACAGAAATAGGATCTGCAACCCTACCATTAGTCAATAAGCTTAGCCTAGACATGTGCCTCTTCCTATGTTTGGGGGTACACGGCGGGATATAGTACCTGTTCTTTCTGGGACTATCTTGCTCAGCGACCTGCATGCTGTAACACGTACCAAGACTTCATCCTTCCTGCTGGCTTAGCCGTATGTATGCCAGGGGTTTCCAGTAGGCACCACATTTTGTGGACCGGCTCATCCGCTGACGGGCATGTCGGCGTCTTGCCACCCTTGGGCGGCTGTGAAGAGTGGCCATGCTGCGGAGCCACAGAGGGTTTCCAGGCTCTGGGAACACAGCTGTCCGCAGTGGGACTGCTGGGTCATAGGAAGGCGGTGCGCTCCCGAGAGAGGGACGGCCTGGGAAGCCCCAGGGGCGCCCTGCCATCCTGCAGGCTGGGCGACAGTAGGTTCAGTTTCCGATAGTTCTGGTCTCAGTGTTTTGAGGCACGAACACCCTTCTCCACAGATGGCCATGCCAACTGCTTCTCCATCAACAGCGACGGGAATTCCCATTCCCGCGCATCCTCCCTGCTCAGCAAATACCAGTCCCAACGCTTGTTATTTTATGATGATTCTTTGTCCACCTAGTGGGAGTTACACGGCATGTCACTGTGTTTTCGTTTGCATCTCTCTGATGACTAATGACACTAAGCATAAATTTTCATGGTTTTCTTTTTCATTGAACCGATTTTTGAAAGAATTTCCAGGAACTCATAAGTTTATCATTATATTTCATTAAAAACTGTAGTACAGACTAAATAATATTATGGTAAGTAAACAAAAAATTTTCCACTTCAGCAATGTGCACATGCACAGTTCAGTAACAATTATGTTCATCCTGTGGCTCAGTCACCACCCTTACTCCCCAACCTTTTCCATCATTCTTCAGATGGAAATATATTTTGAAAGTATTTTCTGTAGACTAAGCAGGAAGGAAAGCTCATGAGGACATGTCTGATGTGATTTTAAATGACAAGCGTACAAAATGGGGGAGAAACTAGCTGAGTAAATGGAGCCTGTGTGTTTGCTTGTTTCCCCTGGAAATCACGGGTTTCTTCTCAATATAGAATTCCAGCTCTGGGTTCCTTACTCACCAAGTCTGTACATCTAGTACATGGGCGTGGGGTGGGTTGAGAGCTGTCAGAAATGCAGCCCACCAATCAAGTTCCACTTCAGTGATGGCACGGGAACAGCTCACTTCCGGATCTCGGTTTGCAGGTGAAGACAAGGAAAGCACTGCAGGCTAGATGGGCCTCTGTTTTGCTCAGGAAGCAAACGGCCTCGGGATGAATTAGTAGTCACGGGAAAGCAATACTGATGGAAGGGGCAATGCATCCTTCCATCTCTGTGGACCACAACTGGGAAATAGCCAGGGAAGACAATGGCAGCACCCAGGCACCCACGGAGAAGCAGAAAACCCCCTGGGCATGGTTCCAGAGTTAAAAAAAAATTGTCAACGTGCAGACACATAAGCATATTCTAGAAACAATTAAGCAGACAAGTCTGCTAAGGACAATTCTCCCTGCGCCAGCTTGTGGGAAGCGCTCATCTGTCTCTTCATGTGATCAGTGGCCACTTGAACGCCCCATTGGTGAAATGTCCATTCAAGTCCTTTGTCCATTTTATGACTGGGTTGTCTTTCTGTTCTGAAGCTGTTGAAGTTTCATATATATATATATAAAAACTCTTGGGTGTATAATTTCCAAAGATATTTTCCTAATTGGTAGCTTGTCTTTTCTTTGTAATGTCTTTTGAGAAGCAAAAGTTTTAAATTTTTTATGAGGCTCCATTTATTTATTTTGTATCTTGCTATTTGTGCTTCTGTTGTTAATTCATTGTTGTTGAACGTTAGGCCTCACAAAGGTGACCCTGCGGGGATGAAGTGCTCCCCAAAGCTCCCAGGGCTGCCCACCTTCATGGGGCAGAGAGTGCTGCCTCCCTCCTGTGATTTGCAGTCAGTGCTCAGTCCACTGCACTGCTGTTGCTAAGTGCGATCCAGTTGGTGCTGACTCATGGTGACCCTATCTATGAACAGCAGAATTAAACACAGTCCAGTCCTGCCAGCCTCACACTTTTTTGGTTTGCGCCCATTGTTGCAGCCACTATGTCAACCCACCCTGCTAAGGATCGTCTTTTTTTGTTGCTGTCCTTCCACTTTACAGAGCATGATGTCCTTTGTCAGGGTCTGGGCCCTCTTGACACCACGTTGACAGCACAGGAGACAAAGGCTCGCCCCCGCACTGCCCCTCTTCCAAGACAGATGCACTCGTTCCTGGCAGTCGGCCCACGGTTTCAATGTTCTTCACTGGACCGTGATTCTAACAGCTTCAGTAGCACTTCATCCACATGTCGTACAATAGTTCAATGTCACGAAGATTCATGCAGCTGTCACCATATGCAAATCTAGAACATTTTCTTCTTCCTTGTACTCAATTCATGTAATTTTTAAAAAATTTGTGGCAAAATGACCGTCTTCTTCATTCAATGTTCACATGCACAGGAGGCAACTGAAAATACCATAGCTGGGCCAGGTGCATCTTAGTCCTCAAAGTGACCACCTTGCTTTGCAACACTGTTGGGAAAGCTTGAAAAGACTGGCCCAATGCAATCATGTCACCTGACCTCTTGACCGCTGCTTTCGTGGGCACTGGCTGCGCATCCCAGGAAGACGCAATCCTCAGCAGCTTCATTTCCCACCTCCTATTATCATGCTGTCACTTACTGGTCCAGTTCTGAGGACTCTGGCTTTCTTTACAGTGTAACTGTAATGCACACTGAAGGCTGCAAGACCCTTGATCTTCATCAGCAAGTGCTTGAAGTCCTTGTTTTCAACAAGCAAGGTTGTCTCATCTGAATATTGCCAGTTTCCAATAAGCCTTCCTCAAATCCTGATGCTGTGTTCTTATTCATCTAGTCCAGCTTCTCAAATGATCTGCTCAGCATATAGTTGAACAAAACCAAAAGCCAAATTCGCTGCCATCAAATTGATGCCGACTCACGGAGACCCTGTAGGACAGGGTAGAACTGCCCCTGTGAGTTTCTGAGACTGTCACTGTTTAAGGGAGTAGATGGTCCCATTAGGGGGCAGCTGGTGGTTTTCAACTGCTGACCTTCTCGTTAGTAGCCCAACATGTAGCCACTACAATCAGGATACAACCCTGATGCACACCTTTCCTGATCGCCTGGTTCTGTGTGAATGACTGCCTCCTGGTCAATGTACAGGTTCCACATGAGCACAGCAAAGTGTTCTGGAATTCCAGACACGTGTTTACGTATGTTTTATTGATTCTCCAAAGGCATTTGACTGTGTAGATCATAATAAACTGTGTACAGCATTGAGGAGAATGGGAGTTCCCCTACAGGATCTCAAACTCACTGCCACCGAGTCAATGCTGACTCAAGGCAACCCCCTGTGGGTTTCTGAAACTCTAACTCTAACCAATCTTTCTCCCAGGGAGCTCCGGGTGGTTTCGAACTGCCAGTCATGAAGATCACAGCCCAACACGTAACCACTATCCCACCAGGGCTCCATCCACTATGTTACAATATGCTTTAAAGTCAGGAAATGTAACTCCTCCCACGTTTTTCTTCTCTGTTAACCATGTTTCAGCTATTGGGAACCTCTTGTTTTTACAAAGTTGAAGGTTGGTTTTCTATTTCTGCAAAGAACACTGCTGGAATTTTCCCTGAGATTATGTTGAATCTTTGGTAATGTTGATGTATGGATAACATGAAGTCTTCAAATTTGCGAGCACAGAACATCGCCCCCTTTACACACTGAGAGGCCTTCTTTGATTTCTTCTTCAGGGCTTTACAGTTCCCACTGTACAAATCATTCTGGTCCGTGGTCACGTGTGTTCCTAGGTATTTTATTCTAGACTCAAATTTTCTACTTAATTTCCACCTGGACAGTTATTTCCTTGTCTGATCATATTGCTTTGGTTAGAGGTGGTGAAAACCGGAACCCTTGTCCGGGTCCCAAATTCAAGACTACAGCTCTCCATCTCCGTCACGATACTGCTGACTCTTCAACTCTCATTCACAATCGCCAAACTCCCAGGACCAAACCCTGCTAACTCACTGCTGCAGCACTGATTTACTCTCCACCGCGTCTGTCCGCCACAGGCACAATGTTTCCCCGGCACAGATGTCAGCATTTTATTCTCACGCTGAAATATCTTACTTTGCTCCTGGTGTCACGGACAGAGGACGGGCTGGGCTCTCTAGCGGCTCACTCAGGCTCGACTCTGACGGTGCGCCCCACCCCCCACGGGCTGTTTATCGCACATCCACCCCTCAGCATTCAAGTGTACCTGTCCTCCCCAAACACACCACGCGCTTTCAAGGCTGGTTTTGCTAATGCCACTCTCAGGCCAGGGTCTACTTTCTCTTCCACTAAGAACTTTACTCACCATTGAAATAACTTTCACCCTTCAGAGATTAGATTCAACCCTACTTTTCCAGTGTGGCCACCTCTAGTCAACCTAACCTCTATTTTTAATTGTCCTTTTTGAACCTCTGGACATGTATGATCCTCATTATTGATAAAAATCCAAGGAACTTACGTATACCCGTGCTATCTATACACAAGAGGGTTTAAGGCGTTTTGCAGAACTGAGATGTAAAGACGGGATTTCTCACAAGCTCTAAAGCTCCCTGGCCTGCCCCCTTCTTGGCTCTCCCTCTCTTATGCCCCTTAGACAAGACAGAAACACCCCTCTGCACTGCCACCGAGTGCTTTCTGACACACAGGGACCTTAAAGGGCAGGACATAACTACCCGTGTGTTTCTGTGACTGTAACTCTTTGCGGGGCTAGAAAGCCTCATCTGTTTTCTCTTGGGGCTGCTGGTGATCTCGAACTGCTGACCTTGTGCTTAGCAAGCTCATGAGTAAACACTATGCCGTCAGGGCTGCTTCAAGTATACAATGAATTACCAGAATGCAGAGAAGCCTTCTTGAATAGTCTTGATATTTCTCCAAGATGCTTTAAAATTAGATATAGTAAACAGAGTTGCTTGTTTCGTACGTTAATCCATCTTACTTCTAAGTGCTGCCATCAGCGTATCCAGGTGGAATTCTTGTCATGTCACTTTGATTTCACTGACTTTCAAGGACAGATACTAAACTGTCCGTCCTTCTCTCCCATCACGTCATGATGTCACTTACCGTAGTTTCTCAAAAGTATTGATCCCGGTTCCTACCAAGCAAACACCACAGAGTGCACACTGCTTCTAATGCAGCACTGTTTTGAATTCACGGACCATTTACACCCCACTCATCTAAAACACCACTTGAAGGTCACAGCTGACCTTCCAGAATAATTTCTAGAATAATCCTCTGGTTCTTTTCGTTGAATTATGTCTTTAGCCTACCTTCCACGGCATTTACTAAAGGCATTACTAATGAGTAAATCTTGAGTCCTCTTATGTGACAGGGACATCAAAAACATATTTTTTGGCTCATGTCAATTAAGTGTAGAGCTGAGCATATAGTGAATTCCCAATAATCATGCAGATGGTTATAAATCTCTTTTCCAGGACAGAGTACATTGCTAATAATGGCCAAAGAAATAAGGTCTACGTTGTAAAACAGACTTGCTCATCTCTTTATAACAGTTCAAGTAGGCTACCACTGAATTATAAAATAAAATTATTGATACTTACAGCTCGTGCTGCTAATGTCATTAACACCCCTGTTAGAAATGTCAGATAATATCCTGGGTACACCCCATGCCAAATGGCAGAGAGAATGAACGTCTGGATAGTTGGACTGAAGGAGGCTCGTTCATAACACACCCTGAAAACCATGAAAAACACGGGAGAGCCAAGAAGAGGGATTGGTTAGAGTTCAGAAACCCCACAATGCTTAGTCAAAAAAAGAGTGGTAAGATATAGAAAACATCTGCTACTACAGCCATGTTCTCATGTCAGAGCCATGGACATCGACGACAGTCACCACACTATCCAACAGCTCACTCTTTGTGGATTACTTGATAGAATTTAGCGTAATTAAAGGAACAAGCACAATTTATCTTGGGCAGTAAATTAATCTGTGACCTCGGAGATCACAGTTTTAGGTATCACATTTAGTAAACAAACTTAGTTCCCCATTTCTTACACTAGCAAATGTGTCGTTAAAATGATATTTTCCAAAGTTTAGGGTCTATACAATTTATAAAAACACATAAATTCTAACTAATAGTGAAGTTACCATTTTTATTCTGTTATCATTTTCTTTATAAATGTCACGAACTCCCAACTGAGCTAATAATGGCCTTTACTGGCAAATGGCCTATGTTCAGTTTGATGGCTTCCAGTTAACAGGGTGCTGATAGTTTCCTAATCCTCAGATTGAAAATACAACAACAAAACCACACACCCACGCTAGCTCAGAGAATCTGCAGCCATTCGTAGATTGTCAGACCTCGAGAAGGTCAGAACAAGTCCCATTCCTAAATCTGTTTTTAAGTTGAAATTGTACATAAGTCTTCACTGTTGGGTACCATTCTGAATTACCATCAGTTAGTTAAATGTCTTTCTTAGTATATAATATACGAGGGGCTTCAAACACTTTGTGGAAATGAAGAGACTATAAAGATTTTCCAAGAACTTTTAAGTCCCCTCATATAGTGTACTTTTCTATGCATAGAACACACTAAACAAACAAGTGTAGGGACACGGAAATCGCTTCAGTGGCGAAATATCAATAACGTTTTGAGCTGCGCATCACAATGTAGCATCTGTTTGTTGTTATGAACCACTGTACATGCCTCAAAATTATAATATAACAGGCTTCATGGGTTGGCTTACAACTACACGGTGTATGTAAATTGGACTATGTTAAAGCAGCTGTCTGTAATCCAGGTGCTCTCTGTAATATATTTTAAACACCTCCAGGGCAAAGCGTCCAATGTCAGCCTTTAGCAGTGGAAAAGAAGTCCTTAAAGCCCCACGGTTACAGGAACCGTGTCTGGGCAGTAAGTTCAGGCAGGGCTACACCTACCAGGACCAGGAGGCCGAGTCACCGGGTGTGTCTGCGCAACCCCAGCTCTTGGTCCAGAGGCGCTGCCTCGCTCCCCTCCTGTCCACCTGGCACTCCTAACAGCTCCCGGTCACCAAGCTCATTGCAGGCAGCAATCACTCCCGAGAAGCGTCTCTTCTGTCCCGTGGTGCCCTCCCTGCCCCGGCTCTCAGGCTCTGCAAACAGCCACAGCAGAGAGAGCAGCACAGGCTGGTCCCCAGCGAGCCTTTGAGCAGGACGTCCAACTCCTTGACTGCAGGTACGGTGTCCGTTTGGTTTGATTCACCTTTGCATCCTTCTTATCTTTTGAACGAAAATCGTAAAACGGCAACTGCTCTGGAGCATGTAGGGTGTATGAACAGTGGTTTGGGGTCGTTTAACAAGTAATCAGCTCTCCAGTGAGTGAAAGTCGGAGCTAAACAGGAGGACACCGGTGCCTCCAACGTGAGCAGCGGTCTTTCTTCACTGCCAAATGGCTCAAGCAGAAACAGTGTCCTGATCTGCTGGGCCCTGTTTTGGAAGACGTTAGTATTTCATTGTTAACAAAGTCACAATGTCACTCAACATTGTCCTAACTTAATAAAAAAAAAAAATCTGAACCTTGTCAACAACCTCAAGCACTAGATGCCATAGTACATCTAAAGAGTTTTTGAAGAAACCTACCTTTTAAGCCAAAGAGCTGTCTGAATATTCCAGTTATCAAGAAACATCTTGAAACTTGTAGACATCTGAAAAACAAAAGAGCGTTTTTTTTTCTTTTTAGCCAACAAAACAATGAAGCTTTAACTATCAGTAATGATACTTTGTGATAAAACGAAATTATTGATTTCAAGACGACGATTTTGATTTCCTGAATAGTTTTTCTGATATAGAGACACCAGTCTAAAAAGAGTGTATGTGTTGTAGGGGAAATTTACAAGGTGAGTGAACTATCATCAGCTTCTCCTACATGTTAACATATCATGGTTCTGTTGTAGAATTATCCCAAAGGAATTCCTGAAAGTAGACCAGTGGTATGCCCTCCTTCATGCAGAGCTTCATAGGGTTCACCCTGATGCTCCCCATCTCCGTGCAAGGCAGCACCGTAAGCCCAGTGGTTTACACCGGAAACCTGTGCCCGATCCCTAACTCGCTCTTTCCTGACTATAGTTCATCACAGGTTCTTATGAGGTTCTTGCCGAATCCTCCAGTAGGTTTGTCTTTCACGCTCCACAGTCACCATGCTGGTTTAGATCACCCTCCTCAACATCCCCGCCAGGGGGCATCTCTCGATCCTTCTGAAACACTCACCAGTCATCTCATTCCTCTGCCTCCAAACCATTCGTGGTGCACTATGCTCTTGAAAGCAAGTTCAAACTCCTGCTAGGACCTGGCCTCTGCTTCTGCAGCCCCGCCTTTCACCTCTCCTGTCAACCAACACCAACCGCACGCCCATTCTTAGCCCTTCAGGCTGCTGCTTTGACTGGCAGGACCCAATTATTGCTCGTCAATCCGACTCTGACTCCCCAAGCCACCGACTCTTGAGTTGTATCCTCACATTATCAGCATCCACAGCACTCTGTACCTCACGGAGAGAAAGAACGCCCTCTCCTGGTCCCTGGGATCACTCCCTTCTGACCGCCAGCCTCCTAAGAGCCCCGAGTGTACTTATCTTATTCACTGGCTCTCAGTGCCTGGCCCACATGGTATATGGCAAATAGTCCTGGTTAAATGTAAGAATGAGTGATATTAAAAATATTTCCAAATTATTTTGGGATGCACTGTCTGGTAAGCATGGCCCTGTGAACCCCAAGGTTGGCAGTTCATACCTGCTGTCTGCTCCCGTGCAATGTGACAAAGCCTCCGAAACCCTACACAGGGCATGATGAGTGAATCCACCCAGGGGAGGGGGCTTGGTTTGGGGCGTTTCAAGTGCCATAAGGACCGCTCGGTTGTGACTCAAAAAGTTGGCAGGCTAAACCCACCCAGTGCCTCCAAGGGAGTGAGCACCTGTCAAAGTGGCTCCTGGAAAGAGCCACCTCGCTCATGGACCAGTCCTGTCTCAGAGGTCCTGAGGGACAGAGCAGACATGCCCCGGGGGTGTCTCAGGTGGCCCGTCTTCACGGGAGCAAAATGTTGCATCTTCCTCTTGGCTGGTGGGTCGGAACTGCTGATGGTGTTGGTAACGGCCTCTGGTACAACCCGCCCCACGAGGAGCGGCCCTCCATCAACACTTTAGGATGGGGCAGTTCGGCACAACAGCAGCAGCAGCAACCAAGTCTGATGTTGTGATTCACTTTTCATTTTAAAACACATTTTGGTATAAATGGTGAGTTCTGTTTGAGGTCTGAAGGGTAACTCAGGGCCCTGGTCCCTAGCCAAGCAGGAGGCCCGTCCCTTTGATGACTGTGGGTTCTGTTCTGTATTTTCCTCCCCCTCCATCCAAGACCTTGGTCTCTGGGCAACACCTCGTGCTTCTTGAACTTCTCAATGATTACTAACCTCTATCTGCTGAATTCTCAAATTGGAAATTAAGTCCCAGCGGGCTTCTCCGTTCTTGTCATATCCTCGGAAACCAAAGCCTGCGGCATTATTGATGGCATCGGCTGCATTAGAGCAAACAGCGAAGAGCAGTAAGAATCTGGGTCACCAGAACATGTGAGCTGCCACATACCACCATCGTTTATGCTTCAACAACAAACGTACGTCCCAGGGGCTGTCATATACCGTGAAAATAACGACCCCATGAAGGGCAGTCTGGTGAGTCAACAACGATCAGACAGTTAGGGCTGAGTACCTTTCTAATGGTCTGATCTTCGTTGACTCACCAGACTGTCCTTCATGGGGGTCGTTATTTTCATGGTATATGGCAACTACCTAACTCAGGAAACCGTTCCAGTATTAAAATCACCACAGCATGCTCACCCTTCCGTCAAAGGCTCGGATGAAGGGATGTTTGCCCTGAGCTCACCGTATTATTTTTATCACATATTTGACCTGTATGAAGAATATGTTCGTCAGAATGTATTTTTTCTCTTTCTTGGTTCATCCATCTATCTCCAGAATTTGTTTTCCAATCCCTTTCACCCTTGAAACTCAGATAGTTCTGCTTCACAACAAATACACGGGTGAGTAAAAATCACGGTTCCTAGGTTTCCGGTTCGCACGGGGTGGGGCAGGCTTGTTCCAACAAAAGGTATCAAACATGCCTGTGCAATCAACGGCCACAGAGACATCTGTGGATGGCTGAAGACACGTTCTCTCAGTCACACACGTATCTTCGATTCATTAGAGAGCCTTACAAAGACGAAAAGTCCAATCACAGAGCAGCAAATCCCCGGACTATGCAGGGCTGCTTCAGTTCGAGGCCGAGGGCAGCTGAGGGCAGCTGAGGGCAGGGCATGTGTTTTGCAGAGGAGCCTGCTACAAAGATGTTTTCCGACACAGAAAACGGCATCGGTGAGGGAAACGCCCAGCTGGCTGTGGCGAGGAAGCGTTGCCCATCTCGACCATGAACCCGCTCATTCTTTGATGGAAGCAAAGGAGAATCTTGGAAAACCTACCCCATCCACCCCGCAGCCCCGCACATGCCCTTTCGAACTCTGTACTCCCCAAAAGAAGACACTCCGAGTCCCTGGAGCAGGCTACACTGCTGCTGTGGGGTGGTGTACACTGAAGGGCGCAGCGCTCATCCAGGAAGGAAAGTCTCCTTCGGCAGCACCGATCTGCCGGAAGAGGTTTCCCGAAGCAACAGTTTCCTATTTTGATGTCTTTCGTTTAAGAAAGGCTTCTGTCAGTTTGTAGCCATTCTTCCTGGCTTACCCTGGTCTGTCTGGCAAAGCCACAGTGCCAGTTCCCCTTTCCGACCAGCTAAACAATGAGCATTGTTTCTCTTCTCTGTCATGAGCAGAGAATAAACAAACCTGAATCCATCAAAAGCCAGCAAAATAATACGTCTACATAGACATGTATCTTTAAATTGTCTTATTCTTATTAGTATGTCTTAGTTTATCACAAAGGATTGAAATAAAAACTTGAGAAAAGGAATAAACAGGTCTGTTGTCACTGAACAAATACTTATTATGAGGAACTCTGAATTAAAAATGTACACTATATTTTGGGTGAAAACTCACTTCAACCATAAAACACAGTGATATTATTTTTAATTGTCCTCAAAATGAAAAATGAAACAAAACAAAAATACCAAACAAACACCTGGAGCCTCAAGAGCAACTTAAATGCTAGTTTAAGAACCAAATAATAATAGTTACCCTGCTTCCTCAAAAGTAAGACATCCCCTGAAAATAAGACCTACTTACAGTTTTGCCTCTCGATGAAATATAAGGCATCCCCCCCAAAATAAGACCTCCCCGAAAATAAGCGCCCCAGAAGCTACCGTAATTCTGGACTCTGGACCGTAGTGGCGTGCACCGCCGTGCAGCTCACTGTTGGCCGCGGTGCAGCCGCAGCAGTGCGAGGTCTCTTTTAATAAAACAATAAACAATAAATGTGTCCCGTATGCTTCTTCATGGAAAAATAAGACATCCCCTGAAAATAAGACCTAGCGCATCTTTGGGAGCAAAACCGAATAAGACACTGTCTTATTTTCGGGGAGACAGGGTATGAGAAAAAGTGGCTGCAATGAGGACGTAACTTTGCACACTGGGGCATGGGAGTGGGTCTTTCATCTGGTTTCCCTGTTGGCGCCAGATTTAAGCTCAGGCTTTGGGCTGAATTTCCTTAGCGCTCCTGTGAGCTAGAAGACAATCCTGATACAGACAGTGTAGGCACAGTATACATTTTTATTGAATTGAATAAGTTTATAACTTATGGCTAAGAATTTTTAAAATATAAACTCTTTAATGTGGTTCAATTCTAAGTTGTTACAATTTCAAATATGTTTTTTTTCCTTAAGGAGGAATAATCAGAGAAAAGGAATTAATCTTTTTCTGGTTTTTTTTTAACCAAATAATAGGGTTGAAGGATGAGAAATCCCTCAAGAGTCAGTTTCTTAAATGATCATACTTAATGAAGAATGAATCACAGTGGATCTCTTTCGTGCATTTTTAGGTTACTTACAAAGATCTTGTGATTTTCACAAAATCCTTTTGCAGGGGTAGTGAATTATGAAATGCTGTTATTCTAGCCAAAGTCCCTTAACTCCTACCAAACAGCCTTGGTCAGCCTGGGTCTGGTAACGAGGTGGGAACATACCAATGTTTCACCTGTGAGTCACTGTGAACAAGATTCCCTAGGGTGCCATCTTGCTGTGTACAAAAAAAATGAGCCCTCTGAAAAGCAGGAGGAAGGATCTCATTTCCAGCGAGAGCCAGGAGTGGCGCGTGTCCTCGGGCTCTGAGATCCCCGTGCAGTGAGCCCCCTGGACCAAGAAGAGCCAGACCATCCAAGGAGGAGCAGCAGCCATGATGGATTCCCCAGCCTAAGGAGTAAGTGAAGCTGGGTGCGGGTGCAGGGCACTGGCTTGCAAAGTGGGGTGCCTCTGGGCACTTAATTCAGGAAGTGAGACTTGCATCCAATGGCGGGAGGCTTGCTGGAGAGGGTGACTCTGGGCACTTACTGGCAGGGAGCAAGGTTTGCTCACCCAGGGAGCTTAAGCTGAGTACCTTCTGGTTGAGGCTTAAGGCAGAATGGAAAACCCTTTGGGCATTCATCAGCAAACTTGGCAAAACTTTGTAATACGGCCTGGTCAGCAACTCAACCCTGAGCATTTCTTACTGGCATCACGACTTCTTAGTTTCCGTAAATAAACTGTAGTCGTGAATTCTGTCTGTGAGTTCCGGGCAGCCATCACAATGGATATTAGAACCCAGAGAAGCAACATACAGAACGACAATTAAGACGCTACTCTGAACTCAACTGCTTCACTTCCCTGACAGAAGTGCCGTCAAATGCCGAATCAAACCCAGTCAAACGCCGAATCAAATCCAGTCAAACGCCGAATCAAACCCAGTCAAACGCCGAATCAAACCCAGTCCAACGCCGAATCAAACCCAGTCAAATGCCGAATCAAACCCAGTCAAACGCCGAATCAAACCCAGTCAAGTGCCGAATCAAACCCAGGAACTTGGAAAACTCATGGAGCCTCTCAAGCTTGTGGTTTCACTAATAGGTCATGTTTCTCATAAAATCCTTAAAATACCACAATGATCTGGAAAACTTCCAAGACTTGATTTAAATCACACAGTAGATATACAAACATTTTCTGAACTCATAGTCAAATTACTGATGTTAAAATTTGGCTAGATTAAAATTTTTCATTTAAGGAAATATTAAAGACCATAAATCGTAATATTTTCATTGGCCAAAAAATCCTAAGTTAAGGTAACATTTAATGTATTGTGTACAGTTGTATGAAAAAAGGCCAGAAATCTGAGTCAAGTCCAAAATTATATGTCACTGTAATACAACACATGAAGCCAACATTAGAATGCCAGTTCAGAGGCCTTCTTATTTGCCTTGTTCTGCCATCTGTTTCTTAATGCATCATTTGTACATTTATTGAGTATCGGCTCTAAGCAAGACACACACACTCTTAAGGAGTTCATAATCCAGTTAGTGGGGGGAATAAATGATAGACTACAAAAGTAGGTTCAGCTTGCCCAGTGCAGTCTCTACCTCAGCCCATCCACAATGTGGCCACGACTAACTTCCAGCACACACACACACACACACACACACACACACACACGACTAGGCCCTCAGGGGAGTCGGCACTTGCAATGGCTTCCCGATGCCGAAGGAGAGGTGCTAGGCTCCAGTGTTCTTCAGCAGAGCAGGCAAGCTTCCCGTGCCCTGCCCCGTCACAGAGAACCACCTACGTCCCCAGGCAACCCTCAACGCCCACCAACCCATTCCCCTTCGGCCGAAATGACATTCCGTCTGGTGGCACAACTAAATACCATCTTGTCCCTAACCTTTCCTTACCCGCCAGGTATAACTGATGATCCCCTTTCAATAAACCAATAATATCAGTGATAAAGTACTAACCACATGCCAGTGTGGTAAAGGCCCACTCACTATATATCACTACAATGACGGATCTAATACAATCATACTAAAATTTAATCATTTGGAGTTCACAGTTGACTTCTTTTAAGATTAGTCTATTTTGGCGACTACAAAGACTAGCATAAAGTAGGCATTCAATAAATGTCTGTTGTTTTCAAACTGGACCCTTGGATCTATCATATAGTACTCGTGAAATCCATATGCACTGTAAGGGTTGCTTCTAAACACCCCTACACACACGTACGTTTGCTTATTTTTCTAACCAATCTTTGACTACAAGGAACCTCAAGAGGGCACTCTTACAGCAATTCAGCACATAGAACAGAGGAGACTATTCACATTTTACTCACCTAATGTCCACGCAAAATAGTACTTGGGTCTGGCAGCCAAGAGAGACACATACAGATAGATGACCTTCGTTGGCCACGAAGCTGTAGCTTGGAAATGCTCGTCAATGTTATACTCCACGGACAAGGTTTTAGAGATAGTCAGATGAAACAATAAGGAAAGTCCACAGACCATGAGCTTCTGGGTAACTGCAACCTGGAAAGGTAAGACAAGACCTCATCAGCTGACTCCACACTCCTGTCGGCTCAGTACGTACTTACAACACGGCTCCGCCCAGAGACAGCAGTAACCCCGAACTCCCCTGCTTACATCCACAGCGCATTTTGATCAACATTTAGAGACCCCCCTGAGCTTACAGTATGAGCAGGATCTATCAATGATTACAGTGCAGATCTCCCGAGAGAGAGAATCTGAAAGCAGGCTTGTGTGTGTGTGTGTGTGTGCGCGCGCGCGCGCGCGCGCGCGCTCACTCCCGCTCCTGCACAAGTCAAAATTCGGCGGGACTGTTATTTTCTTCCCCTTGGATCTCACAGGTTTCTGGCCTTTGAGAGAGCATTCAAACTCCTACTACTTTTCTATGGCTCTTTTCAGGAAAACATCTACGTTTTCCTTTTTTGCACGGTTTCCATTAGACACGGGTTCCGGTTCCCAGAGGCGTGCACACATGCGTGCACACACACAGGGGGCTTCAAAGAGTGTCGAAAATGGAGTTTAAAGAGGACGACATTTTCCTACAAAGCTTTTGAAATCCCTACTACAGAAAGGGGCACACACAAATAACAACATTCATGTGCTCGGTACTGTGTTTTATATGACTGGTTACATATAGCCTGTGTTTTCATGGACCAGTTGTGGTATTCTCACATACTAGGCACTTCCTGGACGTGATTTTTACAGTACACAGCTATTCCTTGCTTTACTCTGAAACTTCTTTAAACACAATTTTTTTCAAAAATAATCAAAAACAGGTACACAGCCGAAAGAGGTTTGCATGAAAGGCTGATGGAAAGAAAAGCCCGTTACTTGTGGAAAGGTCCAATCCCCTCAGGAAGGACCTGTGCAGAGATACGAGGGGGGTCTGAGGCACAGTGGGATAAACAGCTGACGGAAATGTCCCATGAACATTCTGAAATTCCCTCCCATAAGGGAAGAGGGGTGAGAAAGGACTGGTGAGAAGAGGTGCCGCCACCCCAGGACCCAGTGTGCTCTGGTGGGCTGTTGGGTAAGAGTTCCACGAGAGGAGGACGTGGCTGTCTGCGCCGGTCAAGATTTACAGCCTCGGAAGGCTTGTGCAGGTTCAGCCCTGGTAGCAAAGTAGGCACTCACTGGGCTGCTAATTGCAAGGCCAGCAGTTCAAAACCACCGTCCGCTCCGTGAGAGAAAGACGTAGCTTTCTTCTCCAGTAAAGAGTTACAACCTCAAAGCCACGGGGACACTTTGACCCTGCCCTCTAGGTTTGCTGTGCGTCGGCATCAACTGGATGGCAGTTGAGTTTGTTTGGGGGGTTTATAACCCGAGTGGTGCTGTGGGTTCGTGCCGGTCTGCTAACTGTGAGGTCACCAGGTCAAACCCCACGGTCACTCTGGGGAGAAAGTTGAAGGTTTGCAGGCGGGAGACCCAGTGCGTCAGAACTGCTGACTCGGCAGTCATCTAGCAGAGCCACCTGTAAAGACGCACCCTCACATCAACCCTGGACAGCTTGGTGTGGGAGCTCCAGGCGGTGGCGTGGGCGGTCCAGAGCTCCTGGCGGGGGTTCTTTCGTCTTTCGGGCATCCTCCCCCTCCTTCACCCTCCCCCTTCTTCACCCTCCCCCTACAGACCCGACCTAGGCATCTCAATGCAGAGAGATTTCAGAGGCAAGAGAAAAAAATTGTAAGTATAATTAAGATGAGACCGCATGTTAACTTAGAGATGAGGTATATCAGTTCAATAACATAATAAAAAATACTGTGGCCATAATTACAAAATTTCTAGGTCTTAAACATAACAAAACAGAAAACCACAAAGTAACATCTAACTCTTCTCAACTGCCAGGCGGGCACACTGACCACAGGCGCCCCCATACTTCTAGAGGTGTCTATGGTGCTCTTCACCTCCTGTGGGGGCAGATGGTCCTCCAGAGGGTCAAGTGTTAGTTAACTTAGATGCAGACACAAAATCGTCCGTGGAAGCGATCCGGATAAACCCATTTCCATTCTGCGTGATGAATTCAGCCCAATTTGATACAGGAGTTCTGCATTAACTTCTGGAAGACAAGCACTGTGAGGGCTAACACCCAGGCATTTAACAACCATGGGCATGGGGTAGGAAGGGGGGAAGGGGTGACAGGGTCTTCCACAGTGGGTGCTCGCTCCTTCACTTACCCATCCACACGGTTCTGACTTCTATCGACTCTCTAGAGCGTAGAACTGCCCCTCTGGGCTTCCAAGGCTTTCAGAGAGCAGAAAGCCTCATCTTTCTCTCCTGGGGAAGCCCGTGAGTTTGAACAGCTAGTTTTGTGGGCAGTGCCTGATTCGGGTGGCACTGCACTCCCTGGGCGCCTTCACACTACAGCAGCAGTTCTCAACCTGTGGGTCGCCCGATTTATCACAGTAGCAAAATGACAGTAATGAAGCAACAACAAAAATAACGTTATAGTTGTGGGTCCCCACCACATAAGGAACTGTATGAGGAAGGTCGAGAACCACTGCTCTACAGTAATGCAGGCTCGCTCTCTCTCAATTGCTCATGCCGGGGGTGTGATGGTGACAGGAGAAAGGGGAAGGACTCTCTCCCGAAGCTTCCCATCTAAAAAACCCCCACAGGCCTTTTCTTTGGCCTGTCTCAGTCTTCCAGCTCAGCTGGCTTCTCAGGTGAGTTTGTGAGCCTCTCCAATCAGATCCAGGAGAAACTTAGCCTACGGAAAGCGCCACAGCCTTTCTGCACAAAGCAGCACCTCACTCTTACACACACACACACACACACACACACACACACACACACACACACACGGCTTGACCATTGCTTTTTCTTATTACTTGTTAATGAAAACATTTAAAGCACTTTCCTCTTTCAATCAAACATCTAACTTAAATATTCTTCTAAGCCCATCATACATACTGAGTTCAAATTTTAAAGTTTTTTTTTTTTCAATAAAAGAGTTATTCTAAAAAAAAAAAGTTATTCTTTTAATCTTCCATAAAAACTCAGGCTTTTAAAATGTAAACATGCCTCACTATGATGAGACATTTAAACATTCTTTTGTACAGAAAAGGCACTGAGAACACTACAACCACTACGTCTACACTCACCTCCTACTTACGTGGCGAAAGCCCCAAAGCATCAACGTTGTGTGATGTAGCATTCTTTCGCTTCAGCAAAACAGTATCAACGTGGCTAATGTCACCCAGCCTTCCAAAATTTAGGCTCATTGGATCATGAATGCTGAATGACTGATTGGCTATTCTTCTCATTCTGTTTTGTTGAGTTCCAACTAACCAGCGTAGTCACGGAACGTGACAGGGACCCTGCACCCTACAGTAATTTACCCACAAAACTGCCCTGAGCACTTAAATGCACATGAATGCTGTCCCATGAGATGGTCCTAGCAGGATGCTGCGAGCACACACTAAGGACATTTCAAGTCAGACCATCTGAGGAGCATCAACTGTCTGTGCACCTGACGCAGAGCCATACACAGGGATTTGACGTCTCAGCCTGTCACCAATGTACCTATGTCAACTGTCACTCCTTCTGGGAGAATCCAGTGTTCAAGGACAAAGACATTTCACCACATCCATGTTATGATGGGTAACACTGAAAGTTAAGTGGCACAGTTTGGCTACTAACTGCAAGGTCAGCAGTTTGAACCCACCAGCTGCTCCACTGGAGAAAGATGAGGCTTTCTGCCCCCTACAGACTGAGAGCCTCAAAAGCCCAAGAGGCAGTTCTACGCCAGCCTACAGGCTTCTATGAGTCAGAACCGACTCGATGGCGTGAGTTAGCAGTAAGCTGTGTCTCCCTTGCTTTCTGTATGATCTACAATGACCAATTTCAAACGCGAGAATCTCAGCTCTAGTTAATTTCACAGGATACGGAGTGTCAACTTGACACCTCTTCTTTCTCACATGCGGCTGTTCCGGGGTGAAGAGGGGCCAGGCGTGTAGTTCTCTGGCCTCCCTGTGAGACTAAACAGAGCAACAGAAGAACCACTAAGCTGCAGGGACGGAATGATTGACAGGCCAGGCTTTGGTTGCTTCACGTGTGGGTGAGGACTTTGACATTCACCAAAGTTTACTACAACCGAGACACTCAGATTTAAAGGGGAATACACATCTTTGGAAGGTTGGTGCCCCAGCTCCTTCTAGCAGTGTAGCAAGGGCTGGCCTCCAGCGACTCTGTTCGGAAACTTCAGCCCATCCAACCTACAACCCTGCCCCTGCCCTTCACACTCTGTTACGTCACCCAAATGCAGAAGAATACTGAGAAGGAAGGTGATTCAAGTCCCCAGAGGTTGCCCAAATTCCATTTGGTGGAGTGTCATTAGAAAGTGCAGAAGTTCTCTGGGGGAGAATTAGAGAGGTGGAATCACTACTTTCCACAGTGGGTAGACCCAGATGGAGTAAATGTAAAGAAAAAACAGGATCCCGTTGAGATATTTTTGCTTAATAAAGGTTTCTATGACTGTATCATGAACGTTGACCAATCCCTGGAACAGGGCTGGAAAGGCAGAGCAGGCACTGTGTAGAGACTGTAGCTACAACTCTGAGAAGGCTGTCGGACCCAGCAGTGTCTGGTTCTGTGGTACACAGGACAGCTGTGGATGGCACCTAACGACAACAACAAGATTTCGTAGCAACACTTTTTGACTTATCCTGATGTAGATAAGTAAACTACAGAGAACAATAGCATAGACACACTGACTTAGACTGTTGGAAGGTTCTTACGTGAATTGGTACCATATTAATAATGAGCAGACTGTCATTAAGTTAAAGATGTATATCATAAACTAGAGCTGTCACAACAAAACTTCTAACGAGGTCTAGCAAAAGAAGTCAATTTAGGAAACAAAACACAAAAAGCAGCCCCACTGCTGACGCATGACGCTGACTGCACAGGGCAGAGCAGCACTGCCTCTCTGGGTTTCCCAGAATGCACCTCTTCAGGGGAGCAGCTGCACCTCTTCAGGGGAGGAGGGCCTCCACTGCTGACCATGGGGTTAGTGGCCTAACGTGTAACACGCTACACACCCAGGGCTTTTTAGAGCATATGGTAGGCAACTGGAAGTTGATGATTAATTCTCAGGACGATGAGGAGGAAGGACAAACAGGGATAAAAACAAGGCAAAGAAAAGCCAAGAGCCAGAGGGTCGACTTAAATTCAGCTACCTTATAAATGACTTCACATTCAAAGCATCCAATGAGAGGGTGGGGCTGGTCAGAATGGATGCAAAGCAAGACCTAAGGCTACGCTGCGTGCACTGGAGCAGACACGGGCAGCATGAAGCCCAAGGTCAGAGAGCAGCTGGCAAGCCAAGGGAAGCAGGGGCGGCTCCCTGATGGAGGTGGACATCACAGCAGGGCTTACCAGCACCCGGGAGAGAACAGTCAACTACAGTCAAGGGAGAGACGTCACCATCACCATCCTCCCTCCCCAAGGTTCTATGTCTAGGTCCGGAGTCCACCCAACGGCAAGGGCGTCCCTGCATAAGGTGGTTGCGGGGTCTGCGCATTCCTCCCAACGGGTAAGTTTAAAGAAAGAGGTGGGTCCGTCAACAATGAGCAGCACTGCACCTGTAGACCAGGAAGGTGAGTCAGAGCATGGCACAGAGACCCACATACATCTGGCGATCTTACATTTGGAGACGGCTCTGTTCTTTCACACTGTCTCTCTTCTTTTCTGCCTTCTCCTGATTGTGTTAGGTGGCACCATCTGCCTTCAATGAAAGTAATGTAGTCTTTGTATGAGCAGAGGGGGCCTGCCAGGATGCCCAGGAAGTTACAGGTGTAACTCAAATACTCCAAGAGGCTTGGCATGCGCCTGCAATTAGAAAACACGCAACTTCTGAGATGCAGCATCCACTTACAGAGAATTTCCGTTTGGAATCATCAGTTTTTACCTCACTGCTGTTTACCATTTCAGACACGGGTAGGCAGACAGACAGACAGACAAACAGAGAGACAAGCTTTCTTTTTCTTTTTCATGTAGGCCACAAAATAGTAGCGAACTATACTAAGTGGTATAGCCACTGTGGAGTGTGGTCTTCTCTTTTTTCTCCCAAACAGCCCACACTGGTAAAGGTTATTAAAAAACCCTTGCCTCCAAAAATGAACTTTTGGTAGGCAAGCTTTATTTTTCATTTGCATCCCTATGAACAGAATTCCAGACGGGGCAGCATGGTCATGCTCAACAGGACTCTGGCTCAGAGGGCTCCCATTCTGATCTTTAGGAGCAACTAGAAGAGGTTTTTATAGATTCTTCACGATGGGAGAACTCTAGGGTGGACAGGCAGGGCCACAAACGGGTGCCGAGTGCAGCTCTGCGTCTGGAGGTAGGGCAGCATATGAAACAGCAACAGTCTGCATTCATGAAACATCCATCACTGTTGCAAGAAACAGATAATAAAAACACCAAGTCTTTTCAGAGATAACCAAGTCCTGGGGGACGGGGTGGTAGTGAGCAAAGCACTGGGAATAACTGGGTGAGTATTGAACGCAGTGAGAAGTCAGAAGGCCTCTCTGACTGCAGGAGACAAGAAGCATCACAGCATCCCTGGGTTGGAGTGCTTGTGGCAGCAGGGAGGCTGGTGGTGGGGACGAGGAGAAACACCAGGGAGCCAGCAAGGCAACACAGGGGATGGTGTGGACCACCTGCATTAGTATGGAGATGATTTAGCTGTGTACACTCCTATTTTCTGAAGCCTCCATTCATTCAGTCCACTGTCCATGACAATTACAGACTACCATGCAGAGAAGCACGCCTGGGGACCGGCAGTCAGCATGCTTCTCTGAGGTGGGAGAGTCCCTTCCACCTCTACATAGGCAAGTCGTGTCCTTGGGAAACTAAAGTCTTGGTGGTCCACGCAATGCTCTCGTCTGTACTATGTATTCTTCGTATCTATTTCACGGATGCGGGCAGTTCTGTGCGTGCAGCAGTTTCAGAATGAAGTGGAATTGCTTTCACTTTTACTTTTAAAGAAGAGCCCACAAAACCAAGACCTCCGCAAGCACTATCCACAGTGCAGAATGAGTGCTGGGGCGTGCTGGCAGTCTGAGGAGGGAGGACATGCAGTCTTCTGAGCCGGCAGAACCCAAGCCATACAAAACTCTCCAACGAAGTTCATGAGAAACGAGCTACTCCACAAGTACACGCCTCAAATCAGGAGAACTATGTTCCTGGTTCCTCAATCTGCCAACAGAATGGCATTTACGTGCTCTCCCTGGTGGGGCGGGGCATCGAGCGCTGGGCTGCTCCCGTAAGGTCAGTAGTGAAAACCTAGCAGCCCCTCTGCAGCGAGGCCAGGCTGCTTGTTCTTGGAGAGCTAGTCTCAGGATCCCTAGAGCCATTCTGCTCTGTCCTATAGGGTGGCTATGCCTCGGATTCCACTCGGTGGCAGCGAGTCTGGGTATCACCAACACAGTGCATCTTAGCCGAGTCTCCACCATCATGCTATTGGTCTATACGTGGTAGCTGCTATTATTACTCCTCATTACCACCACCAACACATACAAGGATACCAGGGCTTCTCAGCAGTTCTCAACCTGGGGGTCACAAGCTCTTTGGGGGTCGAGCAACTGTTGTACAGGGGTCGCCCAATTCATAACAGTAGCAAAATGACAATGATGAAGTAGCAACAAAAATAATGTTATGTATGGTTTGGGGGTCGCCACCACATGAGGAGCTGTATGAAAGGGTCGCAGCATGAGGAAGGTTGAGAACTGCTGGCTCAGATGCCGTGGTTAGACATGAAGACAGTGCTATCTTCCTCTCTTCAAGGACCTCAGAGCCGGACATGAGCGGGAGAAGTCGAGCGGAGGGCCTCATGACTGCCATCGAGCACATTCCGACTCACAGCGACCCCGAGGAGCAGGGCAGCGCTCTGCCTCCCCACCCTGGGGGGGTGTCTAACGCTAAATCTTCATGGGCGTGGCCAGCCTCCTCTTTCTCCCAGCATGACCCACAGCGCTTGGTCTATGATGCTATCTATAGTCAAGGTCCCATGGGTGTCTTTGGTGCTAAGTGAAAAGATGGAGGTGTGGGTCATCCCTGAGACACCTCCTGAAAAACTGGCCCACTGGCAGCTCAATGCCACACAATCATATTCTGACACACATGAGATTCCCGAGTCAAAGGGGGCCTGATGGCCACTGGTGCCTCAGGAATCCCTGGGTAGCAGAGTTAAGCACTTGCCTCCTAATTGCAAAGCTGGCAGTTTGAGTCCACCAAGAGGGACTTTGTACTAAAGTCTGGCAAACGACTTCCGCAAAGTCACTACCACTGAACACCCCAACGACGGCAGTCCCACTGAGGACCGTTGGGCTCGCCAGGACCTGAAATCGACTTGGATCAGCCGTGAGATATACAACCCACTGTGCTGGGACGCCTTAGGGAAATGTACGCGCGGCGGCGGCTGGGTCAGTTTGGACTCATCATGAGCCCATGCAGCGGAGAAGGCACCGCTGTCCGTCTGTCCCTGCTCACAGCTGTTCTGTTTGTGCTTACAGTTGCAGTCACTGTCTCAATCTATCTCGTCGGGGACTTTCCTCTTTCGCGGACCTTTACTTTATTAAGCACGGTGTCCTTCACGGGATTGGTCTCTCCCCATCCTCGCTCTAAGCAGCATGCCGGCTATACTTCTTTCAAGCCAGACTAGTTTGTCCTGGTGGTCCCTGGCATGTTCAATTTTCTCTGCCAGCGCCGTCGTTCAAAGGCATCGGTGCTTCTCTGCGCCCCTTTACCTGCCGTCCGGCTTTCAGATGCACGTGAGGCCACTGCACAGACCGGGGCTCGGGTCAGGCGCACCGCACCCGAGCCTGCAGAGGGACATACACACTTGCCTCTCAACACAGAAGATGTCTTATGTGGCAGATTTGCCCAACGCTATGCATCATGTGATTTCCTGCCTGCAGCTTCTGTGAGCACTACGGCAGAAGGCTGTTCGTGTCTGCACATCACAGGCTGTTAATGGGCTTCCTCCAATCCTGAGGCTGCATTCTTCTTCAGAGTCTAGTTTCTCAGGAGGCTGCTCAGCATACAGGTTGAGTAGATACGGTGAGCAGATAGAACCCTGACACACATCTTTCCTGATTTTAAACCATGCAATATTCCCTTGTTCTGTTCATGTGACTGCTTCGTGTTCCACGTACAAGTTCCACACAAGCATAATGAAGTGTTCTGGATTCGCATTCTTCTCAAAAGTTCTCCATAGCTTGTTATGGTTCACACAGCCTAATGCCTTTTCACAGTCCATAAAACAGGAGCAGATGTCTAGAAACAAGTATGGCAGGACAGAGTCAAAGGCACGTACCTTACAGCTAAGTCCCTCTGAGACGGAGTCAGGTCTTCATCTTTTCGAAACATCCCTACGAAACAAAAAGAGGCGCTTTGAGGAAGAGGATTTCCCCACAGGAAGAGAATGGCATTTTCTCCTATTCACGCTTCCCTCGGCTGAAATTCAAGTTTTAATCTGAACTTGGGCACAATGGTCGTTCTTTTCCTTCGCATTTCAACACGAGCTCAGTCACGTGAGAGGCCCCTCAAGTGATCCAGCATGACTGGGTTTATATGCCAGATTCATACACTAGCCTTATATACCAGATTTATAGACAAGGCTTGTATATCATATTTATATACTACATTTATATATCAGATGTATACACTAGATTTATGTATCAGGTTTATATACCAGACACATATACTCGGTTTATATACACCAGGTTTATATATTAGGTTTATAGACCAGGTTTACTTATTAGCTTTATATGCCAGGTTTATATACCAGATTTATATACTAAGCTTATATAACAAGATTTACATACCAGATTTATACTAGGTTCATATACCAGATGTATATACTCAGTTTGTATACACCAGGTTTACATACTAAATTTGTATACCAGGTTTATTTTTTTGGATCATTTTATTGAGGGCTCTTACAATGCTTATTAAAATCCATACATCAGTTGCATCAGGGGTATTTTATATATGTTGCCATCATTTTTTTCTACAGTTACTTTCTCTTGGGCCCTTGCTATCAACTGTTTTCCCCCTTCTTTCCTCCCACCCTCGTGACCCCTTGATAGATTATAAATTATTACTTTCATATCTCACACCGACCACTGTCTCCCTTCCTGCATGGTTTCGGTTTTTCTTCCCCTTGGAGGGGCGTGTGTGGTTGTGTGTCAATCATTATGATGGGATCCCCCCCTTCTTCTGCCCCCTCCCCACCAATTCCTCGTCCTGGGTTCTGTGTGTTGTGAGCTCTTATCTCTTATCTACACCTGTGTACATGCTCTGGTTCTGTCCAAAGTGAGAGGCTTCACTGGGGTCATGGTGGTGGTGGGGGGTGGTGAGGAAGCCTCAAGGAACCATAGTAGTATTGTGTGTTTCATCAGTGCTATACTGCACCCTGGTTGACTCATCCCTTCCCTGTGACAGATGTTCCATGTCTACAGATGGGCTTTGGGTCTCTGCTCCAACACCTCCCATTCTCAACCATACAGTTTTGTAAAGGGTTTTCTGATGCCTGTTACCTGGTCCTGATGACATCTCATGATCGCATAGGCTGGTGTGCTTCTTAAATGTGGGCTTGTTTCTCTACTGGATGGCTGCTTGTTTAACTTCAAGCCTTTAAGATCCCAGACACTATATCTTTTAATAGCCAGGCACCATCTGCCTTCTTCACCACATTTGCTTATACACCCATTTTGTCTTCAGCGATTGTGCCAAGAGGGTGAACATCTCAGATTGCCAATTTGTTAGCACAACATGTTCTTGTATTGAGGGAAGGTATGCGCAGAGGCCTGAAGTCCGTCCACTACCTCAATTATATACCAGGTTTGTATACTAGTTCTATACACCAGCTGTATATACTAGTTTATATACACCAGATTTATAGACCGGGTTTATAGACCAGATCACATGTCCAGGAAGTGAAATCAATAGCACGCTTCCTCGCTAAAGAAAATCAGAAGTAACAGGCTGCGGAATGCCCCCAGACCACCCAGACCTGCCCTGTCAAGCCACGTCACATTCTGACTCAGCAACGCTACAGAGTAGAACTGCCAAGGTGGCTTTCTGGGGCCGCCGCCCTCCGCAGAGCGGTTTGTGACATCTTTCTCCAGCAGAGCAGCCGCTGGGTTCGAACCACAGCTCATCCCGCGCACTTAACCTTGGCACCAGGAGGGTCCCTCTGCCAGACGCTACCACTTCTGAAATGATAATTCGAATGACCAAACATCAGCAATATGAACTAGAACTCATGATGGAATAAGAATTCCCTTATTGATGTCACCACAATGAGTAAAAATTTGTGACTTTCGACTTACAGTATCCACATGCTTTAAAAATGCCCAAATAAGTTTAAAGACCAAAGGAGAACTGAGTTAATAAGCAAACACACTTTGGAGCTATTTGCAGTGAATAAAGTACTTATTTGTATCCCCCAAAGACCTACTACACTATTGGGAAAAACATTATATGTGGACAAAAGACCAGAAAAGATAAACTAGGAAAAAAATACAAGTAGCCAATTATGACAAAATATGTTTACTATTACTCATCATTAAGAACTATTTATTTAAAGAATGAGCTGCTATTTCATCCATTACAACTGGGCAAAAAGAATGTTAAAAGAACTCTTACTTGTATTGTATAACCTTAATGATGTGAAGCACACACCACTCATGTAACATGTATGCACACAAAAATGAGATGAAGACCATTACTGAGAACCCAGACTGCCCTGGGGACTTCTCTAGGCACTGTAATGGCACAGAAAAAACAAACACGCTCTCTCCTGACATTAAATTCTAGTAAAGAACCAATAAAAATAAACTACCAAGAGGGACTGATACAATTTCTTTGTGCACCAGGGTATCAAGAGGCTAAGAGAACAATGAAAAGTGCCGTTCCACACTGGGACAAGGAAGCGAATCTCCCCATTACACATACTGGCTGGGAATAAGAAAGGGGGTGCTTATCTACACACAGAACAAATAAGGCATGTGGAAACAAATACTTGTGCAGGTATTTTTTTCCTTTTACTTTTTATTGCTAATGTTCTAAGTCCAAGGACCACACTATTTATTTATTTACTTGTCTTTTTATTTCCTTTCTTTTTTTTATTGATCATTTTATTGGGGGCTCTTACAGGTTGTCTTAGTCTGGGTACTTTAGAGAAACAAATCCACAGAAACTCATGTATAAGAGAGAGTTTTATATAAAGGTTAAGTGTGCATCAAGAAAACATCCCAACCCAGTGCTGCCGAAGCCCACAAGTCCAACATTAACCCATATGTCCAACACCAATCCACAAAGTCCTCCTCCATCTCACAAAACACACACCATGATGCTGACTGGAGGAGGAAAGCTGAGTCAGTGAATGTGTAAGCATGTGAGCGCAGGCAGGGGTCTCCACACGGGTGCTCCAGCACCCAGGGCTGCACTGGGATAGGTCCATGCAGTTTCTCCTTGGGGATGTGTTGCAGGAAGTCAGCCTCACAAGCTGAAGCAGGGAACTGCTAAGGCAGCTGCACCCTGGTGCGACCATCACAAACCAGAAACCTGAGAACTAGAGGGGCGAGGCTCACAGAACCATTTATCTTTCTGCCCTTCAATTAACCCCACGTGTTTATCGGCCAGGCTGGCACAATAAACTAACTCACAGGTATTATAGTAATCCATAAGCCAATTGCCTCAGGTGAACTTGTGCAGATGCTGCATCATCATTTTCAAAACATTTTCCTTCATGTCAGCTCCTCTTAATTCCCTCCCTCCCCCACTCACCTGAACCCTCAATAAATTATTATTTTCATATCCTACACCGCCTGATGTATCCCTTCACCCACAGTTCTGCTATTAATCCCCCTTGTGGAGGGTAATACATCCATCATTGCTATCAGTTCCCCCTCCCCACCCTTCCCTTCCCATAACCTAATGGATTCATTATTCTCATTACTACTTCTAAGGGGTTTATCTATTCCATATGTCAAAAGCTCTTATCTGTATCAATGTACATACTCTGGTCTAACAGGATTTGTGAGGTTGAACTGGGGCCATGATGGGGGGTGGGGTAGAGGAGGAAGCATTAAAGAACTACACCATTGGTTCTCAACCTTCCTAACGCTGTGACCATTTCAGACAGTTCCTCATGTTGTGGTGAAACCTGCCATAGATTACTTTTGTTACTTCATAACTGTAATTTTGCTACTTTTATGAATTGGGCGACCGCTGTGAAAGAGTCGTTCGACCCCCAAAGGGGTCACGACACATTGAGAACCACAGGAATGTTGTATGTTTCATCGGTGCCATACTGCACCCTGGATGGGTCGTCCCTTCTGTGTTTCCCCTTCTGCACAGGTATTTTTAAAAGGAATTTGCATCCATTAAAATCCAGATCATAGAGTTGTTTGCTTAATCTTTTTTTTTTTGGTGTTAAACAATACGCACACTATAGCACGCACCAATGTGGTCAGTTCTAAATGTTTGATTCTGTCACTCTGATCACACTCTTCATTCGGCACACCCTGCTCTCCCCAGGTGGCCTCCCACACACACTTGGCGTCCCCCACGGTTCCTAGCAGAACGTTCAGCTTGTTGGCGATCTGACCAGCTCCAGGGACTCTCAAAATAAAGCTCAAGGAGACCATCTTGACCGGGTTAGACAAACTGCTGCTTTGTGTTACGAGGACTTCAGGGGGTATTTTTGGTTCAGAGTTTGATGATGACCTCAACTGGATTCGATGAGGATTTTACATTCTGTTCTGTGTCCCCCAGCCCCCCTTTTGGTCAGGATTATTCTGAGGAGTCTGCTTACAATGATCAGAAATGGTAGCCTGGCACTGTCCAGTTCGTCTGGCCTCAGAGCAGAGGAGGCAGTTTCTCGTGGAGACAGTGAGTCACACTTCCCTTCTCCCTTCCGTAACGTGGCTCTAGAAGGAGTGCTGGGGCCTCGTGCTGCAGGTGGGAACCAACAGACTCTGCACAGGAGAAGGATGAGATTTTCCTGCTCCTGTGAAGAGTTCCAGTCTCAGAAAGCCACAGGGGCAGTTCGACCCAGACGGTGTGCTGGAATCGCCTTCCCCGGCAGTGAGGTGGGTTTTATGGTTTTCCAAACTCTCCTTGCTCTGTTGCTCCAGGCAAGTAAGGACCGACTGCTCCACAGCAGAGCTGGCACGAGCCAGAACTGGACAACACCGATGTGTTCTTGCAGGTCTGCCAAGTGTTTCCACTCCCACCGGGGGCAGTCTTACCACTTTTCTGTCACTCCTTTAGTGGGCAATGTCAGTGGTCTTCCTTCTCTGGCAGGCTTCTGCCTTACACAGGCTCCGTTTTTTGCAGGTTTTTCTTACCTTCAGTGAAC